GTAATAAACGCGCATTCAGCAACATGAATCATCCCCGTCATAGCCATCTTATTTTTTATTTGTTTTAACTAAGCATATCATTTTCCATTTTGATGACTCACAGAATATAAACTTTGAGAATTATGTTAGAGTGTTTTCCCAAATAGTTTAATTATTAATCATCTCAGATCATGTCTAAAAATCCCCCCTGGTCATATTAGTCATTCAATGCACTTGGAACGTTTGTAACCGTTTGGCTACGGCGGTTTCACCATTCATATGAGTGCACGTTTTTTGTTTAATCATTATTAACAAATGTATAGAAATGTTTAAAGCTTCAACGTCATACAGGGGTTGAGCGCAACGGGCTGTTTTCCCGTCGTTACGCATTTCCTCTGTCTAAAGATAGCCTAGGCCTGTAACCTGACAAAACACCTGCACTGAAAATAAAGCCAAACATCATCGATGCTATGGGATATTCATATGATAATATTCTGGTAAAAACGCAGGTTTTTACTGATGGCCAAACCACGATATGCAGAAAATCTTTCTGCAGACCAAGCCAATAGAATTCCTGGGGCAGAGAAGACAATCATTAATTAATATTGAAATCTCATCGGGAAGTAACACATGACGACGATGCTCCTCCAGAGCAAGCATTTCAGTGGCATTTGATATAAAACGTATCTGGTTTCAAACGAATGATGTAAAAAACAAAACAAAAAAAACAGCCCTTTTGTCGTAGGCCTCCCTACCTTTCAGAGCGCTCGCTGTCATTATCTCTGGAACGCCGACGTCCTCAGCTCTGGAGATGCGCGCGGAGACCCCAGCTGAGCTCTGAGAAATGCCGACTTTCGAGTTGTCATTCGCCGCCTGTCAAAGGTCAAACGATCGATGCGTCCTTCTGTACCTCGACCTGTAAGTGGTGCACGGGTATAATGTCAAACTCCTGGGGTTGCCTAAAATTACAATTACAAGGACTACGACATCATCATATCATCACCTTATATTTCATGTGCGCTTCACTGAAACGAATGCGGCGACCTCCATTTGCTGATCTCACAACAATATGGAGGAGCCTATCTATATTAGTTCAAGTGTTCCGGATGTCATATAGATCAATACACTGTAAACTGCGCAGTTGTTCGCTTGTGAATGACAACTACACAGCAGATCACGACTTGCTGTTTATGAAGTCCCACCGGGGGCCAGTATGAAGAAGGAAAAAAAATGTATGCACTCACGAACTGTAAGTCGCTCTGGATAAGACCGTCTGCTAAAATGACTAAAATGTAAAAGAAACCTGGGAAGGCATACTGGACAGGATAGACTACATTTTAGTCATTTAGCAGACGCTCTTATCCAGAGCGACTTCAGTTAGTGAGTGCATACATATTTTTTTTTTTCATACTGGCCCCCCGTGGGAATCGAATCCATTTACATTTTAGTCATTTAGCAGACGCTCTTATCCAGAACGACTTACCGGAGCAATTAGGGTTAAGTGCCTTGCTCAAGGGCACAACTGCAGATTTTTCACCTAGTCGGCTCGGCGATTAGAACCAGCGACCTTTCGGTTACTGGCACAACACTCTTAACCACTAAGCTACCTGCCGCCCCAAACCAATCCACAAACCATGCTCTACCAACTGCTCTACCAACTGAGCTACATGGGACTTAATATATTAAATGAAATTCATCACTCACGTGCGGATCATGTAATAAGCCAGTATCCAGCAAATATACATGGGTTTTATGATTGCCTATATTAGATTTTCCCGGACATATTTCCTATCTGTAGGCTTATCTAGAGAGATCCCTGTTATATCCACCTCCATACAACAGGAAATGACAAACCTCTGATGGTTGAGTCTGAGGTGTTTAAACAGAGCTGAGGTCATCAGTCTCCATAATCAGCATTAATCCCTGGTTGAAATCCACTCCAGGTGTTCCACCCCAGTTTAATGCACATGGGATTAATGCTGCATTCATAACCAAGTGGGAAGGTGGTATTTCTCCTTACCACTGGGATAAAACCACTTGAACGCCCCTCCAACCGGTGATTACTTGTGCGAAACTTGTCTATCATCCCTGAGCTCCGACGTCTCCCACATGCTGACCTCTGATGCCACTTACTAAGGAAATGACCTCGATAACAGCATTTTCGGCAGTTAAATGCAACAACAAAACATGATTTATAAAAAGCAATCTATTAATATCGTTTTTGAACCCTATAATTTGTTTACAAGCATGATAGCTGTACTTTTTTTAGTTTATGGTTTATGCAGCTGGTTGGCCATTAACAAATCGTGGTCCTCTGTAGCTCAGCTGGTAGAGCACGGCGCTTGTAACGCCAAGGTAGTGGGTTCGATCCCCGGGACCACCCATACACAAAAATTTATGCACGCATGACTGTAAGTCGCTTTGGATAAAAGCGTCTGCTAAATGGCATATTATTAAATCAGTGTTTCTCAACGAGTTCAAAGCAACCTCTCCCTCAACATGACCAAGACAAAGGAGATGATTGTAGACTACAGGAAAAAAAAGAGGACTGAGCACGCCCCCATTCTCATCGACGGGGCTGTAGTGGAACAGGTTGAGAGCTTGAAGTTCCTTGGTGTCCACATCACCAACAAACTATCATGGTCCAAACACACCAAGACAGTCGTGAAGAGGGCACGACAAAGCCTATTCCCCCTCAGGAGACTGAAAAGATTTGGCATGGGTCCTCAGATCCTCAAAAAATTCTACAGCTGCACCATCGAGAGCATCCTGACTAGTTGCATCACTGCCTGGTATGGCAACTGTTCGGCCTCCGACCGCAAGGCACTACAGAGGGTAGTGCGTACGGCCCAGTACATCACTGGGGCCAAGCTTCCTGCCATCCAGAACCTCTATACCAGGCGGTGTCAGAGGAAGGCCCTCAAAATTGTCAAAGACTCCAGCCACCCTAGTCATAGACTGTTCTCTCTGCTACCGCACGGCAAGCGGTACCGGAGTGCCAAGTCTAGGTCCAAAAGACTTCTCAACAGCTTCTTACCACAAGCCATAAGACTCCTGAACAGCTAATCTTGGCTACCCAGACTATTTGCACTGCCCCCCCACCCCCCACCCCATCTTTTTACGCTGCTGCTACTCTGTTAATTATTTATGCATAGTCACTTTAACTCTACCCACATGTACATATTACTTCAACTACCTCAACTAGCCGGTGCCCCCGCACATTGACTCTGCACCGGTACCCCCCTGTATATATAGCCTCCCTACTGTTATTTTATTTTACTTCTGCTCTTTTTTTCTCAACACTTTTTTGTTGTTGTTTTATTTTACTTTTTTATTTAAAATAAATGCACTGTTGGTTAAGGGCTGTAAGTAAGCATTTCACTGTAATGTCTGCACCTGTTGTATTAGGCGCATGTGGCCAATAACATTTGATTTGATTTGATTTGATGTGAATGCATCCAACTGGTATTTACGAGTTCACAACCAGGGCGGCAGGTAGCCTAGCAGTTAAGAGCACTGGGCCAGTAACCGAAAGAGCGCTGGGCAAGTAACCCTAAATGCTCCTTTAAGTTGCTCTGGATATGAGTGTCTGCTAGATGACTCAAATGTAAACATTTATGGTGATTACCACCTTCCCACTTGGTTATGAATGCAGCATTATAGATCCAACTCTGATAGGGGATAGAAAGAGAGAGTAGTCAGAAATACCTCCCTTAGTTCTTTTCAGGGTTCACTACAGGATCACACACACACACATGTGCACGAACACAAAAACACATGCGCATGTGTACACACAAACACGTGTACAAATGCAGACATGCACTTCTCCCTGCTGCCTTCTCTGATGTCAGATCAAAGGGTGTATTGATCAGAGAGGGGGAGAGAGAGGGTGCTATACATGTTATGAGTTCTGTCACATTATACTGCATTGCCATGCATGGTGGACTAGATACAGATGCTGCATCATTGCAGCATGACTATAGAGTTATGTGATAGCCTATCTAATATGTCTGCAGTGGCATTCTCAGACAAAATTCACAGTAGAAATATATCAGTCTCCTATATAGCACACACAATAATGTTATGAACAAAAATAATATTCAGGGAATGTAGCTGAAACTTACAGTACTATAGCTTTGAATGGTAGACATTTAGTTTATATTCATAGTAGGCATGTTGCCTGGAACTAGTGTTTGACCTTGAGAGTAAAACAACTGAAAGGAAATTCTGAGAAAATAATTTTATTTTTCTTGGAATATGGCAGATTTTGGACAGCAACATGACTTTTGGACAGAAAACATTCAGTGTGTGGTATTGCACAACAGAGGGGTGGGTTAATACACAGCGTATGAAAAGCTTTCCTAACCACTCGTTCACCACAATGGGCTTGCCATGTGTATACTGGGCCAATTACAGTTTACACCAGTGACTATTTGCATATTGTGTTATTGAAATCTGAAAGGGAGACAGACACAAGACACATTCTCCCACAAACAGTCCAACCACTAACCACACTCATCCTTTTTCTGATACAGCAATTCAGATGCATTACACTTTCAATTAGTTAAAACACTCATAAACTCTTCAACAAGTCATTACTTACAAATAGTAAGGCCTCTGGCTCTTTGAATATAATTCTACCATTGTTAAAATCTTTGGTCCCTTTTAACACAGTTATAGACCCATTCATTATAATCGTTTTATATTTGGTCTAGTCTTGCACACTAAACTTCAATAGACTAGGGAGAAGGTTATATTTGGTCTAACTAAAATCAACAAAACAGTTTCAAATTAAACAAAAGAAAAACACATTTATGTAATCCAAAATCCTTTGATAAAGATTAAACTCTTCATTTGATCGAACTAAAAAATTAAGCCACATTATAGGGTGTGCTGTTTAGAAGACAATGTCCACAATAGTCATTTCAGTTGAAATGAAGGATACATCACATATATAGAAATCAACAGTTAAGTACCCTTAGGTGCTATAGGAGTGTCAAGACAGTTTTACAGTCTTTGAAATGTAAGGTATATTTAGAGTTGCACATCAGGCTCTCATGTTCTGCAGTCCTGCTGATTTCCGTTTCTCCCTGGGACTTTAAACTTACTATCTGGAGAGAGGAAATCAGTCTCTGTCTAAAAGGTAAGGACGAAAACCTTCATACACTCCAGCCCTTGAGGAAATAAGCTATGCACCCCTGATCTATGTAGTGCATAGGATTGTATTTGCAAACATGTTTTGGTACTGAGATAACTGCCAAGCTAAGGGCTCCTAACATCTAGCGGTAGTCTTGTCTTGCAGCCATGTACTCAACTAACGTCTTCACTAACTAACATTAGGAGTCCCTGTGCATGGCCTTTGCTTCTGATGCGTCACCTCTGCTCTCCTCAGGGCATTGGGATGCGTTGTGTGTCTGTCTGTGATGTGCTGGGGATCTTGGTGCTGAGGAGAGAGTTGATGTAAGGCCAGATCCTGTCTGTATCTGTGCCTGAGAACGTGTGCAGGATGCCCTTTGACCTGGGGAGGAAAATAAGGACACACTTTCCAGGTAAAGTTGCATAACTACCATGTAGCATAATTACATTATATTGTAACTACATTGTCACTGATCAGTATTTCAGGATAGTCAAGGCAAGAAATTTACACAATGCTTTAAAAAATGAGTCAGTGAAGTGAAGGGTGGACGTACTTGTACAGGTTTATGATGGGCTTGGCCAAGTCCTTGTACTGCCTCAGTCTGGCCACTAGAGCCTCTGGTTTGTCATCATCATGATGGATCAAAGGCTCCCCACTGATGTCATCCCTGCCCTGGGGGGGAAAACAGAACCAATGCAACTTAATTATTATTGTATCAATGACATAAACCCATGAAAACTGTACCCAGCTCACAGAGAGTTGTCTTGAACCCCTCACATTCAATACACTATTTCAAGATATTACTGATCATTCACAAATACAAGTGTTAGGAATATAACAATCTGGTACCGTATTTTCACAGCCTTCTGTAGCAACCATAGCAACCATTGCTTAGCACATGCTTTCCCAAACTCGGTCCTGACAGACTAACCAGAAGACTAAATATGTGTAAAGGAGATGATGGTGGTGATTAAAAACTGAGAAAAACAATGTTGTTTTCTGACCTGTACGCGTGGAGGGTTGAAGCCCATGTTGTAGACCCTGCCGCTGGCTGGGTGGATCCAGCGGTCACTCAGCCTGTCCTTCAGGGTCTCATAGGGAATGTTGAGGCTGATGACCAGGTCCAGGTCACAGGTACTGTTCAGAGCCTTGGCCTGGGCCAGGGTACGGGGAAACCCTGGGGAGAGTTGGGAGATGAAGGACGGAGACTGAGGGGTGTGTGTGTGTGTGTGTGTGTGTGTGTGCGTGTGAATCTCACATTGCTCCTGCACAACAACTTCAAGGAAAATATTTATGTATTTTCTATGACATCATAAAGGTCGTATCGTTATGTAAACAATACAAACACAACATCCTGATCAATTTCCTTTTAACCTACACTGATATGGACTGGTAGACATACTGTAAATACTGTATTTACTGTTGGTTCCTCTGGCCTGGCTGTGAGACTAGTTAATAGCTGCTTTCAGAGGGTGTAAACCTGAACTACTGTTTACAAACCTTGGCCTGTTGCCTGACTGGCCTCTTTCAGCTTGTTTCTGGGCCAGACACAAACCTGTACAGTCAGTGTTTCATGATACCTTACTGTGCTCATGTGTTTTTGGTTGTTTGCCAATTCATTAACCATCTCTATGTTCTTGCTTTCTCTACGCAGCTGAAAAAAAGATATTTGGAAGTCTGTGTGCATTTCATGGTGTGTGTGTGTGTGTATGTGTATGTGTGTGTATGTGTGTGTGTGTGTGTGTGTGTGTGTGTGTGTGTGTGTGTGTGTGTGTGTGTGTGTGTGTGTTTGGTCTTACCATCCATCAGCCAGCTGTGGCGGGTCATCTCCTCCAGCCTGGGAAGTAGGAGCCGTGTCATCACATGGTCCGGCACCAGCAGACCCCTCTCTATGTAGGTCTTAGCCAGAACACCAGCATCTGTGGAGGGAGGGAGGGAGGGAAAGAGAGAGATAATGAGGAGGAGGAGGAGGATGGAGGAGGAGGAGGAGGAGGAAGAGGAGGAGGATGGAGGCATCAATTCCCGATAATTCAAAAGCATTAAAAAGTTTTGAAAGATTTCTAGTAAGAGAGGTGGAGTAAACCCAGACAGGAATGCCCTCTGTAGCTTTAACACCTAAACGGTTACCAATTCACCCTGTTTTCTTTCCCCCCTTTTTTCTTGCTTTCTTTACAGCAGTCAGTCACGTAGCACATCTCAGACAGATCTCCAGACACCTCTAAACTAAAGCCATCAATAATTGATTAATGTCATTTAATGACCTACTGACCAAACTGGATCGTGACAATGTCGTTACAGGGGCTAGAATTAAAATACATAAAGCCATAGCATAAGATTAATTGTGTCCATTCAGATTTACTTAAGGTAGCAGGGTTTACAAAGTATGAATGTAAGAGAATGTCTTCATTAATGTAAATAACTCCAGTATAGTAATTCTAGAAAACTGTGTTTAGTAAGGCATGGCCTTGAAACTGCACTGTAACTGTAACTACAACCCCACACATGTTTTGGGTTTAATGCCCTCCCTACATCACATTTCATCTGTGGGCTAAAAAGCTTGGCACACTTTCTGATTAAAATAGGTCAGATAAGTCAACTCAGAGAAATTCAGAGAAATTCAAAACATACTTTTGCTATAGCCTGTAAAGTTTCAGAGACTATTAGCAAAGAAACAGTTTCATAACTGGGATTAGTTTTTTTAACCAGATTGTTGATTTGCCATAGCCTCTAACTTTAACTAATGTTTATGTGGCTTGGATGATAGGAGTTTCTTGACTTCAGAAATGCGCCACTGACCAGCCTGGTGCCAACTTGGAAGCGACTCTCTTCACCTAGCCTGAACTTAGGCCTCTGCTGGTGTTACAATATTGTTGCAATTTATGGCTTAGGCTAGTGGGGGTGAAGGCTAGTTAGGCTACTAAAGGCTAACATTAGCAAAAAATATGTAACCTAAAACATAGCAGGGGTAAAATAAACGCCTGAGCGGGGTCCCCCGATTCCGGTTTTCAGGGAAAAGGAAGCTAGGTTGAAATAATAATAACAATAATAACAATAATAATAATAATAATAATAATAATAATTATTATTATTATTATTATTATTATTTTATTTTTAAGCTAGGTTGAAGACACTGTATCCCTGAAAAACTGACGGTTTCTAGCAACCCCGCTGAGGATGACAAATATGTGGCAAAAAACTATAGCAAATAATAATATTTAAAAAAAGATGAAATCAAGAAAACAAATAAATAAATGGTAAATAATAAATAGATAAATGTCTAATTATTTATCAAGAATAGGCCTACCTGTATTTGCAGCTATATTCTCCCGAACAAAGTCGCCACTGGACAGATGTGTCAGGCCAAATCTTTGCGCAATTCTCTCGGATATGGTCCCCTTTCCCGAGCCTGGTGGACCCATGATCACGGCTCGAAACAGTTTGGCCATCCTCCACTATAGCCTGCAACACCACGGACTGTATCTGTGTCTGGAGGAGACTAAATAAATACAAAGTTTAGTCCAGTGTTGCTATAACCTACTGCCTTCAATGAAACATTGTTAGGCCTAAACATCTTTCAATGCTGCCCATGGTGTGCACTGTGCACCTTATTATCAAAGTCCGTGACCAGATACGTTCTGCTCGTTATGAGTTAACAGGGACAGTATATCTACAGTTTATTACACCGAATCTAACTTCATTGCCAATTATCCCGAATTGGGTTACGACTTAAAAAGGCTACAGAAAAACGGAATTGTTAAAGAGCCTCATTCATCCAATCTGCGAGAGAAATCGAACTTTCCAGATTGCTGATTGTACATATGGAGGATTTTAACTATGGAGAAAAAAATAACATAACGGGGCAATAGTCAAGCGATGTAGGCCTACCTCACCGATGCCCACAATCACTCCTCACCTTCGATTTATGCGTGTGTGTCCTGCAAAAAGTATGCGTAATATAGCACGTAGTTCACTCAGACCAAGTAAGAACTATTTTATTTATGTTCCCAGGGGACAGTAGCTTGTCTGCGTCTTTAAGAAAGGGTTTTTCTCTGCGAATGAATGGAGGAGCTGCCTCAACGCCCTATTTCTCAGCACCTCCCCGACACATCATTCAGAAAAAAATGTGGACGACTTGTGCGCAGGAACTTGTTAACGCTTGGGAATCTGGTACCTGTAGTTTTCTATTGTGAGTGAGACATGAGGAATTTACAAATGGAACCATATGTAAGTCGCTGAAACATGAAAGGTAAAGGGAATACCTAGTCAGTTGCATAACTGAATGCATTCAACCGAAATGTGTCTTCTGCCGCATTTAACCCAACCCCTCTGAGGTCTAGAATATACTTATTCTAGAATAGAATAGAACCTGGGTCGTCTGCACGACTCCAGATCACCTTAGCACACTGAGCTGAATCCCATAGGCATCAGCTCATACTGCTTTCACAAGTCTATAGATCTAAAGCTAGGATGTTAGGATGGAAGGTCATCAACCATGCATAGTTTGTGTGACCCACCTCTACACTATTCCACACTATTAGGCTAGTAAAGGATCATTGCGTTGCCATAGTTGACTCACTTCACTGTATGAAAGTTCTCATCTTCATTTTCTATCCTCAATCTGCAATTTATTGCATTGATTGATGTTTTATTACAATGTAATTAAAGCTATTCAGATCTATTTTGGGGTTCTATCGATTGGCACGTTTCCAGAGGGGAGAGAGGGGTGGGAGGTTGATAATGACGTAATGAATGGTAATAGGATGAATCCGAATTCATATACCCACTGATGTGTAAGAGACCTATTGACGAAACACTGCCAACCACAAAATAGACGCACTTGTTGACAGCAACACTTAGTGCAGAGCGTAAACGGTAATTGCCGATTTTCGGGTTTCCCTCTAAAACATTGGCCATCACCCATCATTACCATTACGCACAGAGACAGTGTCACTCCGCGCAACATTTGCGGACCAAGGACTGTACTTGTTGCGAACCATACCGCGGCGTCAGAGTCCTAAAGCTGTCAAATGCTGCGCATGCACAACGTATTGGCGTCTTCAGTCAATGGAACCTGCCTAATCCACCACACGAAAAAAAGTAAATTGGAAGATTATTATACTTCCAATTTACTCAACTAGTTGTGCGTCGAGACCCGGAAACATTGTTTTATTATTTTGTCACATGGCTGAGAGATTTCAATAACAACAAAAAATGGCGACAATCACGTTGTTCGATGTGGGTCTTGCTGCGTCATTAAAACTATTCATGTAAACACGGGAATGAAACGCGCAAAATGCAAGTAAGTAAGACTAATATCCGTCAGATATTTACTGCAAGTAAATATAAATAAGAATTACTCATGTTAATTTGAATGCTTGGACTACATAGTATTTGTTTTTATCTAGAGAGGGGTGTGTGCAGGCTGGGCGTTAGCGTTTGGCTGCACAATAATAAGACTCAATCGACACCGATAGCATTGCTTTTTGACATGGACTTGTTATTGAATATCAGAGTTGTTATAGAAATGTATATATGTTACAATTTTGAAAATGATTGACGGGCTGTTTACAAAGGTTTTTAAATAGCCTTACTCTTGTTGTATTTACAGAAAACAGCAACAAGCTTTCCCAACAACATGGAGTTGAATAGCTGGAACAATTGAAATGTGATGATTGCTTTCTATATTTTTCTTTAGTGTTTTAAACGTTTATTTAATATATCGGCTACCTGGTCTGCGCTTCACGATTATTGAAGGGTCCGATAGGCTATTATTTATAATAAGTACAGTCTATTGGGAGTTTTATATGCTATTTAATTTTTACAATTACGCAACCAATGTTATGTTTTGATCGATTTAACAGTTGTCTCAACGTTGTGCAGCAGGTTATTTTTCAAATAAGTGTTGGCAAGTGCTCCTGCAATTCTGTGATATCAAACAGAACCAGCAAATCGACTTGTTTACATGAAGCGGAGGGAGAAGGAAATCGGGAGGAGTCTCCGCCGGCGGGCTACGCTACTGGACTGCTGGAGAGGCTTCGCGCGCTGAGGGCGGAGCCCCAATAATCATAACAAGTCTGACGTCAGGTCTGTGGTGGGCATAAATTATGCAGTTTAAACACTGTACTGAGTAAACAGTGGTGGCTTCGACCAACTAACAAGGTTTTATTCTGGTAGGCTATGTATCTGTTGTGTAGCAATTCTCTTTCTAAGAGGTTTAGAAAAAGCTGATATGCTACAGTAGTTAGACATGTATTGGTAGGTATTACAATCATATGAGGTGAGAAAGACTCATCTTACTAAGGTGGTAAAATACCTTTCTAGAATTCTGTAATGCCTGTGTGGAATTCATAGCACATACATAATTAATCATTATCTCCTGTGAATAATTACAAAGCTTTGCCGGTTTTGGTAAATGCATTTCGCTGTGTAAGTTATTAGAGAAGCCTATTTACATTACTTCTGCATGCAAATGTGTTCTCATTCTTGTAACTTGATACCATGAAAAACACAGGTACAGAAATGTGGATTTAGCATATTATCAACCATCATAGTCATTTTGTTACTTTCTGCAATATCCAAAGGCACCCCCACCTGCCTGACTCTATACAGTGTCATGTCATTCTAAGTCCCTCCTTTGGCACGATTCCATCTGCAATAGAACAGTGTGACTGACAAGATATTATTGTCGCTCTGGGACTCCCAGTCCTGTGTGTGTGTGTGTGGGCCTGGCATCATGAAGACTGATGGCATCTGACACTTTGGACCACCACAGCTGATGCTGTACTGTGCTGGGACTTAAACTGACGGGGCTGCTGTTTCTGGGCTGCTGTCTCTGGGCTGCTGTCTACTGTCTGCTTAACTTGACATCCAGGCTGCCCTGGTTCAGTTATCACTGTGCTGATGCTGTCCATCTTAAAGGTACAGTACTGTGATAACTGAAGGATGGCTGTCACCTTGACACACCTGACCCATTATGTGATGATGGATGGATGGATGGCGGGAGATGGTACTGCTGTATCAGAGGTGAGGTGTAGTATGGGCACTGGGCAGGGCTCTAAATTTAAAAAAATTATTTGAAGCAATGGTGCTCCCAACTTAAAAAAGTTAGGAGCACAACATACAATTTAGGAGCACCAGAAAATACGATTTTTAAAAATTGATTGAGATATAGCCTATATGATTTCTAGCTACTTCTGAAGCACATGCTGTGCCCTAGAAACTAATATGTAACCCGGTAAAGACAATTGTTTATTATAAAAAGCTGCAAATGGTTATACAAATACCTGTTTTTGAAATTACAAAGTTATTTGTGGAATATTAGGTTTCTACATTGTGTAAAAGCACTATTTTCAAACCACTGTACTGCTGTGCAATATTACATGCACCCCTGCCAATAAAGACTGGTGGGTCAATTTGTTTTGTAAATTCTCAAATTGAAATAAAAAATAAAGTTGGTTCTGGGAGTATTCTAAGGGTGATTATTAGGTTGCATAAACATGATTAGTGCTTTCCCCCCACAATTCTGGCCTTCAAATTGGCATAAATAAGGAGGACAGGTTAGCGGCACCCTAGGGGTTAAGGGCGTTGGGCCAGTAACCGAAAGGTCGCTGGTTCAAATCCCCGAGCTGACTAGGTGAAAAATCTATCGATGTGTCCTTGCGCAAGGCACTTAACCATAGTTGCTCTGGATAAGAGTGTCTAGTAAATGACGTAAACTGTAAATGATAGGTTATTGCTGTTGGTCAAAGTCTGGAAATATACCTCTGACTGGGGAGAGAAAGAGGCTTGCTTGAAACCTACTGCCTGTAATAGAAACAGCCCTTCTCTAATTATGTAGACTACTAGATATTTAAGGTTCATAATTTAAACATTCTCCATTTGAAAAAAATTAAGTGTTCTATATCCTTCTTACTCGTGCTGATATTTCAGTGTTCTATTTTATTTGTTCCAAGTTAGCTAACAGATTTGAGGGTTTTTTAAGATGAGAGAGGAGATATTGTGTTTCTCCGTTCTCCCTACTGCAAGCCTTGCTCAACTTGTTTTACCTTCACAAACCACGGCCTCTAAACACCCGGCCAAACCAAAAGCATAATTGGCGGCGGGGGTTTTCCAATCATAAAATGAGGATTCATGACCCACCTGTCCCCCGGGCAAGTTACGCGCCTGACCATGACGCTACCGAATCTGCGCTCGTTTTTTTCTCTGGCACTCGGAAACAGCATTACAGTAAAGGGTAATTATAACAACAATTATTATCTGTGAGATTTTTTCCAAGGCAAAAAAATAAATTGATCCCAAATTGAAATAGGCTCTATGCACGCATCACTTTCGAATTGGCGTAAGGCTGCTTGGGAATTTCCGGTTACCGGAAAAAAACAAGACAGTGACAGTAGACCGTTATGATGGCAGAGATGAAGTTTACAAGGTGTTTGCTGGAGTTGCCTAAAGTATCTGTTAATGATATACGGAGGGTCGTCCGGACATCCAGTACGACACCACGTAGCAAACTGGATAAAGGCTTCACATTTTAAGTTTCTTCTTTTCTTTGCAACTTTGAAGGTAATATGCTAACGCTAGCTAGCCTGAGCTAGAAGCCTTGCTTTGGTGTTTTAAGTCATGACTCCGTCCTGACTCCGTCCGTGCTTCAGGTTAATCATGCTTTAAATAAAGTTTAATCATGTGTATATACCTCTCACTTCATGTGTTTGTACTTTTATGAAAGTATCAGGTAAAAACAGGGCTACAAATGAGATCTCTGTGAGAGCCCACTGCTACCGCTCAATGAAGAAACTAAAGCCACCACACCAGCTGAGAGTAGGACTAGATTAAGTGACTAGATTAAGTGACACGTTCAAAGTTCTGTTGAATTTGTTCAAGGTTCTGTTCAACACATGTTTTACTCGTTTAATGTTACCACAGCTTTGATTGCCATTGCTAAGAGAACAACACTTTAGAACTTTAGTGGTTTTCACGATAGCTGAACAGTGGTAGCCTAATACAGACCAGGGTAGCTGAGTGGGAATTGCCATGCTTTGTTGTTGGGTCTGTTGTAAACAAATTGGAGTTTGGTTTGAAATGTAAACAATAATGAGATTACTACTTTTTC